ACCTTTTGGCTTTGTTTGTTTTGTTTATATTAATGTACATCAACTAAATTTCCGGGTTTTCACAATCATGATAATTACGATCATTATTAAACAAACTTCTCACAATTTCAGTGTTTTATTTAAAATTCCTTCCCTACTGTGCTTCAGATCAAAGCGTTGTCTACAACTAACGTAAGGAGGCCCTGCCTTAGATGTTTTATCACGTGCCACTTTTCAAATTTAAGCGGGTACTTGTTTAGTTTTAGAGGGAATAGTCATTCGGGTGGCCATTTTTTTAAAACGTTGCCGGGTTTATTTTATTTCCGTGTTCTTGTAGTGTGAAGTTAGCGTAGAACCTGGGGGTTAAGTACCTAACTAGACTTTATTTCTAAAATAATTACGGGAGCCAATAATCGGAAATTAAAAAATTACTATTGAAGTTCCTATGGTGCGTTCGTCAAGTCACCACCCCGTATAATAAGATTGAGCTATGTATAAGTAATATTGGAGTAAGTTGTGATTTCGTGCGTTCATCAAGTAACATTTGAAATATTAAGGTAGGTTATTTAAACGAGGTCTGTAGAATGTGATGAACTAGTTGAACGTACTCGAGAATGTAATAACAAAGGAGCATTATTGTCGGCTCTGGTTTCTTAGTTCTAACGGCATTTTATGAGCCATTTTGGCCACATGGTTTTTTAGATGTAAAAAAATGTGCTGAATCCAATTCTGGATGTTGCCAGGCCGAATTTTGCACTAGTTCACAAATACAGCACGATGGCGCCACTATCTATTGTATTGTGTACTATTTAGTATTAAATTGTTTTCCATAATTTATTACTTATATATACGTAAGAGATGGTTAATTACCTTCATAGCTAGTTCGAAAAAATGTAGGAAAATATATCCTGTGGTGATATATAGGGTGTCCCAAAAAAGCTGTGAATTAATTAAATTAGTGTTTTACATTTTCCTCGGCAAATTTTGTTTGTTATTAAATTTTGTGCTTTTTAATAACCGTTGGTAAGTATTTAGGTTCTTTCCAACTATATATATAAATAAAAATTGCGTATTTTTCCAATGAATCTGCATTTAAAAAAACAAAACCACATCGCATTTTTCAGATGATAACAAAAATGTGACTTTGATATGGAACACCCTGTGTATTATTACATAATATGACAGGTTATTAAATTGTTTATAAAACACTATAGCAAAAATATTTTAAATAACCAACATTTTCAAATTATTGACGATCTCCTAAGACGTAGAGAGTCTATAATTTTGCGGTGCCTGTCCATCTGTCCCGAGATCTGTTCATTTTGCATTTGGATTCTTTATCAGAGTTATAGATCGGAGTTCGTGAATTGGCAATGTACGTTAGTTATAAACCGAATTGCATGAAATTCAATATGGGCATAGTCGAGGGCATAGTTTTAGCCATATAATACGCAATGCTAAAAGTTGGGCCTAATCAATTCTACATTGACAGTGCCCTTTTTGAATTGCAAACTTTTTTATTTATGAAAGTATTTAAATAAAATTTGATACATAGGCACTTGGAATAAAAGCAAATCTAACACCAGGTTCAAAATTTGGTTTTTCACATGCTATAGCCACTACCTATAGTAGTATCTCGAGTAGTATTAAATGGCATTAAATGTAAATTAATTACATTAACTTAGCATTAACCACATTAAATTACATTAACTGAATTAACTTGAAATTAACTGCATTTACAGAACATATTAACTACATTAAAAGTTAATTTTAATTCATTAACTACTATTTGTACACCGAATTAACTAGGTGGTTTACCCCTCGGTTCCCGCCGACACAGTGCAGCGGCGCCACTTGCTACACTCAAATTGTTTATTTACCGCCCTCCAAGATACAGACTTTATTTACAAAAAATATGATTTCATTTTTTGGGGTAATGTTCAGAAGTAACTTATCTAGAAAACTGTCGGTTTACTTTTTCCATAAATCGTCTTGATCGAGAGTAAAACAATAAAACAGGTTAGCGCAATAAACGGTGCAAAATATCTAATCTTTAAACAGCCGGTATTCAGTTGCTATAAACTTTTTTAAAAAAATAGTCCGAACATTTTGTAGATAAAGGTCTAAATTTATAAAATATAAAATTTATATATTATTAATATGAAATTTTATTTTTCAAAAACAACTTGAGTTTTTTAGGCCGACCCTCTTATGGAAATTTACATTGGGTGCAGTGGGTACAGAAGGGCGTAGAGTTGCATCTTCTCATGATGCTGTTGCCGGGGGCATCTTGTACCATACATATTGTCTCGCAAATGCGATAAGGGACACTGAAAAATCGAATGGTCAGACTAGTCCTCCTAAAAACTTGGCTTTAAATAAATTATGCTATGAACTAAAAGTGCACAAATATCTACAAGTGTCTTGGCGACTGCTTCAATCTTAAAAAAAATGAGCAGAATGATGAAGAAATTTAAGTTCCGTTAAAATTTTTGAACGAAATATAGGTAATACATTTGCCGTCAGAATTATCTCTATATTGTTACCGTGTTGTCTGTATAATGTACCCAATATATAAGTTTTGCAATTTTCTGTGCCTCCTGTATGCTTTTTTAACACCTCAATCCGAAAAACTATGTAAAATGCGTTTGGCATAAAAATTTATATATTTGGCCGCCATATTGGCCGCCATTTTGAAATTAGCCAAAAATCAGCTTGGCAACATCCGAATTCGGGTTCAGCAGACATTTTTACCCTTATAAACGCACGTTCCCAAAATGGCTCATTAAATGCCGTTAGACTTGCGATTTATTAACTATGGCCACCCAACTGATATTCTGGGTCGATTAAACACAAAGCTAATCATTTACCGACAAAAAACAATTATATTGGAAAGACAGTCAGTCTTTATAATCGTAAAGTACTTCGCAGTGGCCGGATTTTAAGGATTATGAAGATAATCACAATTTTCTTTTAAATTTAACTCTTCAATGGAATGCATGTGCGTGGATACGTCATCTGGCTCTGAGTGCCTGTTTTTATTTCATTAATTAGAAAATAAATCAATTACGATGAAATCTACATTATGTATTTATTTATAATTTGATTAAGAAACGAAAGCCTGTATGCTGAAAAGCTTTAGGAAATGTCCGTAAATGATCAAATTCCTCGTCTCATTCCGACCTGCTCCGTAACGTCTCTTTCACTGCAGTCCAAGATCTGGCACTGCAACTTTAACTTACTTACCCTATATTTAGTTGGCAAGTCTGGGGAAAAATTGATAGTAGTAGACTTCCATTTCGGAACGACAGATCTTTCGCACCGCTTTCAAGTCTCGGGTAGTTCGAACTGAGTGGTACAAATAAATGAGCCTAGGTTGTGTTATTCTATGGTCGGCTCTTTTGTATGTTAGGACGTAAGATACAACCAGGAAGGAATTACTTTTTCAAATAAATATTGGTTGGAATTATACATTTATTTCTTTTTCAATCACGATCCAAATTCATACAAAACATCGAGCGAATGAACAATTTTGGGAGGTCTTAAAAGAAAACGCGTACTTTGTACAAATAGTAATAAATGCCAAAATTTGGTTACATTGATCTTCTGGAGCAAAAAAAACGTAGGCCATTGTCCCCAAAACAAATTCATTTAAATGACAGTTATGTTGTCGAAAACTACTATGCAAAATTATGAACTACGCAATAACTACCTCCTCGGAAATCTACTACGCATAAGCTTAAAAGGGAAATTAGACTTTCTACAGGTAGTTTGGTGCTAACGATACCAAATTGTAGTTTGACATACCTACTCGCCTGGAATATCCCAATAGGGTTGACATGTATTATTATTATTAATTAGAGTTAATACATGTAGGGCATCAAAGAAAAAGAATTCGGTTGCAATATAGAGAAAATCCATATGCAGCTAGCCTAATACGACAATAAAAGGTCTTGCTTTAGGCAATAGCTGTGGCGTGTAACCATTATAATAACTCCAATTAGTTCCTTTACTATTTCTCCGCAATTATCCTTAACAGTCGATTGTCTATAATTAATGTGTTTGCTTTACGTTAATAATCACCAAAACTGCATTTATGAGCTTATGTATTGTTTTATCCTCTATGGTCGTTGAAGATTAACGATGTTTTTTAAAATCGAATCGTGTAAGAAACTCTGTACATTGGGACACTCTGGAGCATCTAATTTATTTATCTTGTTGATTATAGGTATCCAAGTTCACCAACCTCTTTGAAGTTGGGAACTGACCAAATGTGATGATAACTGCACTGATTTTAATGTTGAAAGCATTACATAATCGAGTGAAAAACAATGACCATCTTTCCTTCATGGAAAATAGCCCGAAGTGCATGTTTTAATAAATTAAATATGTCTCCCAATCATTCGAGTTTTTTTCAAAATACTTAGTCAATCTCGAACTCTCTGTAAAAATTTGCATAAACATTTAGATGACCTCATTGGGGTGGGCAAAGAAGGAAAACTATAACTTTCCTCTCTTCTATAAAACGTATAGCTTTTTACGTTACAAAGCTGTCGGTTGGTTGAAGAAAGTGACTTTTCGAGTACGTGAAGTGTTTTATTAAAATGTATTAGGTCACATGAGTACGCGGTTGAAAAAGGCGAAGACATCGAAGGATGTGCCATTATACGAATGGCATTCTCATAAACGAGCTAGCAATTTCAAATTCAAGGGACATTTTAAATGAACAATTCAATTTTAAAGCAGCTTAAAATAAGGTACGAGATTCAGAGAAATGCCGGCGTTTTTATGACATTATCCAGCTTGACAAGTTGGCACATGCTTGCAATACGTAATACTCGACAAGGTCCGAGTACGTTTAGTGCAATGGACTTTGTATACAAATTTTGTGGTTATCGTAAAATATCGGAAAACGCGATTCGGAAATAAGCCGAATTTATGACCCGTGTTTTACGTCCTCCAAAATTGAACTTAAAAAAAAAGTTCGACTATTTGAACAGCTGAAAACAAGATTCTGTACGGAGAATTCAGGTTATAAATGAATCGAAACGAACACCTAATATGGAATACGGTCACCATTTATGTATAGTCAATGAATTTATTATCGAGAACCACCTGAGCGTAGGTTCCATTGTTCACATTTAATTCAGTATTCAATTCCATCCGACGAACCGAACGTAATGCGCTTAGTTCCTAATATCTTATTTTTCTTTCAGAATGTTTTGGTTTCGAGGGGCGCTGATGTGGCTAGGCGCCCTTTGCTACGTGGCCGCACCCAGTCCAGATTTGTGGAAGTGTCCCGACATTAACCAGGAGCCGATCGTCGAATGTAGCTGTGACATGCCGCATACGCTTAGGTGTACAGGCGACCGATCGGCTCTTGAAGTTATTGGTAAGTCAGTTTTTGCTATTCTTCTTTTTTACTACTACATTAAATGGGTGCAGTATTTCCTCGTGTATATTGTAAATTTGATTACATATGCCGGGTGGATGAAAAATAAGCTGAGGCAAGAAAAGGGTAGTGTGTCACTTTGTCAAAGACAAGTAGAAAACGTGAACGAAGGTGTTATTACTAATAACTCCGCACCCTATTATCTTACGATCGTACTTAAACGAGAAAATTCCAAGCCATCAAATCCTTAAAGGAATAGCTCTGTATTGAATACAATAGAAATAGTACATTATATATCAAGGTAGAGAAGTACAGTATTATTGCCTGAGCACCAAGATTACATCTCTAGGCGCTTGCGCCGAGGGGTGTAAGGTGCGAAGGCAATAATAGACTTCCTACCGTGGTATATATACTATTTTTTTCACTACAAGCACTTGAAATCCTCTAAATTAATTTTTTCAAAATGTGATAATTTTAGGTATGTAATTTCTCTGGAAATGGCGGATGGTGGCAATTATTCATTTTAGAGAAGTTGTCCTAACGTTTATTGAGCGAAATTTCGGGTTGTGTTTTCTAAAAGTGACAGCGTGACAGTTCTCATTATTGACTACTAGTTAATAATGTCCACATTATTAACCACTTTGAACAAATGCCGAGAAAGCCTACTTTACAAGTGGAAAAAAAGGTTAATAATCATGTCATCAGACGCTAGTAGTAAAAAAAACCCTTTACCTTACTTATACAGCAACTAAAACTACCATTTGTGTCGGTTAGCCTTGGAATACTGGACCATCTCTAAATGTGTCTCACGGATAGAAAAAAAAAGGTTGATTCTGAATCCGAAATGGAATACTTCCTTAATTTCGACGTTCCAAATCGAATATTACGTAATCCAACCGTAATATTCGAATTCATATCTGCGTACAAACGACAGAAATGAGCCACAATGAAAGCTGAAGGCTAGGCTAAAGGAGAATTTACTTTACGTGTTTGTTTGTCTCTTTGAGAGATGATGCGATTTTTGGTATAAACCATAATTAATAATAGACAGTTATAGTCCAGGAAATGTATAATTTTAGGATGCAAAATTCATGGTAGTTTTGGAATTTTCAACTTCCCACCAAAAATTCCCCCCGCAACTCCCCCAAATTTTGAAAAAAAGAAAAAATATCGTTTTTAAAAAAACCGTTATTTTGTGTATTTCAGAGAAAAAGTATCTGGAAATTTGGAAAGTAGACAAAACTTGAGACAAAAAAAGCGTATGATATTTTGACGTAGGGCGAATGGGTAGGGCGTTAGCGCGTCTCAGAACATGAGCCTTGGTGCCGTACGCACGCTAGGACATTAGACGATAACTGCAGGTGTTCGCCACTTTCGCGACCTTGCCTGTTTATCGCTGACTGTCATTTTCAATTTCTTGGTTCATCCCCTCCCCTGAAGAGCGCAGAAAGATTGCGAAGGGAAAGAAAGCAGTCATCGGTTGACATAATTTTTGGTGAATCTATGACTCCTTATAGGCCAGGCAAATTTTTTATCCAACAGCAGAAATAAACATCGCCTCATTGAAATGATTAAAAGGAAGTCGACAGTGCGACAAACTGACGAAGACGCAGACTGCCTCATCGTTAATACAGAAAATTGAAATGGCTTCAATTCATCCATCGGTGATTTGATTATTGTCGGCGAAGATATACATTTATTAGTTCTATTAACTGCACTTGCTCAATTACTTCATGAAGCACAGATCTACTCACCCTTTTGTCTTGAAGAAAACATAGTGACTAAAAACATACTATTTTTACACGGTTTCAGCGGCTGTGACTCTACGTCTTCGAGTTTTGGCGACGGGAAAACCAAATTTATTAAAGTCTTCGTCTAGAACCCAGATTTGTTTTTCCTAGCTTAGCTGTTTCTGATTCCAAATGCAGACGCACAAGCTATTGCAAAAGCTGGGAATCAATTTTTACTTCGTTTGTATGATTGCAAGAATGCCAACATGACTTTAAACGGTTTTAGACATCAGTGTTTCATTAGGACTGCGTACATCAGTAAACACGATATATCCTCTTTGCCTCCAACATGAAGCAACACTCATTCAGGACGTACCACCAAGTCCAACTTTCGCTAGGAAATGTCATGGAAGCACAAAAATGGAGCTGGAAAAGTTAATCTCCTGGGTGCAAAAAAAAGGATGCCGTGGCGCGTGTATATGCAGGAAAAGTTGGTTGAAATAATGTGCCTCGAGTGCAACAATTCATGCGCCAATAGCCCTAAAGATATCGTCGAAGATTTTGATGAAGAGAATGGACAAGCAGAGGATTTCGAACTACTATTTGAAAAGGTGGTCCATCAAGCTGATGAGATTATTTTGGGGAAATCACGGAAGAATTGTCAGATTAGTCGTTTCTAAACTTCCCTTTTTTGTCTTCGTTCAACAATGGATCAATCAATCTACTTTAACAACGGGACTTTGAAATCAATTAAATCTTTTTGGTGCATGAACCTACTTTTCAGCTGTGGGCCCTCAGCTGCAGTTAAACGGAAAAGAGTAGGTAATTTAAAATTTCTTTAAATAATTTAATTTAATTTAGTAATAAAAGTCTATATTTTTTAAATAGGTAGATGTGTTCTTAATTCTGAACTTGTCTGAAAATAGACGGGGAAAAGTTGGAGATTGAGGGTTGACTTCCAGATGTTGAAAAATAAGAGAGCCCCCTACGTGCGCAGTGTAGTACGTAAAAGCTTGTAGGACGTTTTTGGTTGCATACTATTTATATCTACATTTCAAAATTGTAGGTATTTTATTCGTGAAACCACAAAAATCTACATCGCGAGTACGAACTTGTCCACTAATCTCTTTGACCTAGTGGAATGGTGACATTGCTAAAGCGGAGAGGCGAATCTACTTAATCTGGGATGAACAGAGTATACAGTTATTAATAAGTGTTAATGCTATATAATTTGTTAAAACGAAATTAAAACAATTCCTCTTACTTCTGGGGAAAAAACGACAAAGGAATCTTTGTTTATATTTTTTAAACCAACAACATTTTCTTTGCATGCTTTGTAAGAAGATTTTACTTTTCAGATGCGATGTTTCGGTTTTTAAATTTCAACATCAACCTTATTTTTGAAATGCGGACTTTTTCATTTTTAAGTCGCTTTCAATTTCCCAAAAGTAATGTAGCAAGTGTTTGTACATCAATAGTTTTGGGAAATCATAAGTAACTCAAAAAGGTCCATACACAAATAAGGTTGAAGTAGGTATCTAAAATTTGAAATGTTTTCCAGGAAAGTAAAATCATTTTCTCATAAAACCTAGAAAAGCATCTTAAGAAAGTGCTGGTTTTTCCAAATAATCAATAATAAAATTTTAAAAACGAACAGTTTCCCTTCGTCTTTTTTTCATTCCTGCTTGGGCGTCCGACTTCATTGTATCGGGTGAAGAAAGCGGAGGAAGTGAGGGGACCTTTCAGAAAATGCTTCTCTTATCATACACTAACGCCTCACCAAAAATAAGCTCGTTATTAATTTTGCCTATTTCCGATTTACGATTTTGGGAGACTGATGGGCCATTTTCATCAGAACAGCACATTCAAACTCAACTAAAAAATGGCTTACTTGATGGCGAAACAAAGTACAGAAGGTTTTTCGAAAATTAGGTTGGGTGTACTTTAGTACACAGATACGAGATGTGATCACCAATTTCGTTCAAGTCTTATACATCGGTGTTTTAAAATTTATAGAATCAGAATCATACTACAGTCGTTCTACAGTTCTGTTGCGATGCAGTCCTGGATAATACCAGAGAAATTTGCTCCCATACATTTGTAGTTTCCCACCAATTTCGTTAAGGTGATTATTAAACGAACTGTATCAATAGGAAGGAATTAAATTTTAGGCGCAGACAAATGTAAAGTTTCCAATGCGAGTATCTCGAAAACGAAATGTCGATAGAAGGTACTCATAAATGTAAAGTGGAAGGGCTGGACGAGAAAATTGGAAGGCCGGAATGAAGCGTATCAGTCGGTTTTGCAAGAATGTTGAGCCAAGGTATATATCCCCTCCTTTAAGATAATCTTGCACAATTAGGTACATTCTGCCTAAAATGATTGGTTTGCACAAATGCTTCAACCGAGGCTTCAACTTTGCGATTTTCAGAAAGGACAACTCTTTAATGCCCTAAGAATATTAAATTGGGATTAGCTAACCAAAAACCAACAACCGAATCAAACTCTTCTTTGTAATATACTCGTACTTACAAAAATCCTGTGTCACGGTGTTTGTGTTCGCACTCCTCCGAAACGGCTTACCCGATTTTTATGAAATTTTTTGTTGAGAATAGGAAGTTTCATACCGCTAGATGATTACATAGTTCGCCGTGTGGGCGAGGTGAGGCGGCGCGGCCGAGCGTATGTTTCATCGAAGAGGGGTCTGCTAGTATATAACTAAACTTACGTAGTGCACCTATATTTTATGTACCCTCATAAAACCAAATATGGACAATCATCTCCCATTTCTAGGATGTGCACCACAGCCAACACTCTATGCAAAAATTTCAGTTTTTTTGGTTTACCTACTATATCTTTATTTAAAAAATTATTATTTATAGAAAATAGATATGTCTTGGAGTAACAATATTTAGTTTTATATTTCCACCTTGTATATCGTTTGCGTCAGTTTTATGTAGTTATTTAGTTTTTATTTAGTTTTGTTATAATGGGCAACCGTTAATAAATAAATAAATAAAAAAATAAACTAATAATCATAAAAAGAGACCTAAAAAAACGTAAACAAGCGATAAACAGACCAAGTGCCTATAGAAACAGTCAAAGTAAAGTTACAACCGTCTACATTTTCACAAAGCGCAAAATTACAGAGGCTTATTGAAGGTCCTTTATTAACTGGGTAAAAACGAATTTTTTTACTATAGAAGTTCCGCAAGATGTAATGGCAGGTTAAAATTGATACTCCCCGCGCTTTCGAAAATGAAAGTGTAATTTGAATGTGATCGTGACGGGTTCTTAATTAATTTACCAAATTGTTCTCCTCTGGGTGGTAAGTCCGCGAGGTCCAAATTCAATTTAATGTAATGTAATTTTGTTTTTCCCTTTTTACATCGGCTAGCTCAATGAAGACTTTCATCACTTACCCAGTTGCGTCGATCGCCCACCCCAGTTTCCTTGTATTAGATAAGAGAGGTCTCCATAATAAAGTGACAATTTGCAAATAAAACAACAATACTGAAACAAAACTAAACTTCGTTTTTACGTGTTAATAACACGCAAAATTAAATAAATAATAGAGGTATCAAGTGATCAGTGCGTTTTTTCCCTAAATAGTAAGGGAGGTATTGCAGTAGGGTAAAAACTAACCCTCCACTTTTTTTACGGAAATACACGTTTAAGGCCGCCTGGCATACATTTAAAATCCTCAGACACTCCATTCTGCAGATATTTGCACTGAAAGATTTGACATCATTAATAGAGATGTCTCGTCCTGACGTTCCACTTGCTTTAGAGTACTTTCCTCCGACAAACCGTTTTTGAAATATGGATATCACCAATGAATCTTTTCTTCCAGACGTCCCAATCGCCCTTTGTGAGTACGCTCTTCCGACAATCCGTTCTGGAGGAGAAATATGGTTAGTAGAAATTACTTCCTTTCGTTCAGACCTGGCACACCTTCAAGGTATAGGCTACCTATTGCAAACATTTTAGGATTCTAGGACCATTCCCCTAAAAGCAGCGGGCCCGGACGGACGCACGGACGGACGGATGGACAAAACGCAAACAATACCACATGCTATGCACTAAAAACAATTAACGACCGAATCCTTTATTTATCCTTTATTAATATCTGATTTGCAAAGAAATTTGTTTTAAAAAAATTCTCCCTTAAAGACTCCCCCATTTTTTTGGGCTCATAGCTAGAATACCGACTCTTCCCCCAATTTGGGTACCCTAGATGATTTAATTACTTGTCTTTCTGGAACTCCGTTCTTGTGACGGGATGGCCGATTTTTTATAAAAATGTTACCTTCTCAACAGATGCGGTGGTAGACGTCTAGGTGGCCGTAGGTATTTGCGTTCGAAGGCGCCGGAATGTTGTATGCGTAGTGATAATTAGCTTGTTAAATCAACTGAATAAATTGATGGGAACATACGATCGTTTAAAGTTACCTAAAACACATCAAGATTGTATTACCGTCCGTCAGACTGGCGCTAGTAACTTTCCCAGACGTTTAACCGCGTGACGCATCCAAAAACCATTGATACGTAAAATATAGATCGCCAAACTCCTTCGGAAACTATTGACTTGAATTGAAAGCAACCAAAATGAAGAAGCCGCCTTCTAATGGAAACATTAGAGGACGTCTTTATCTCTATGATGTTTTGTAGGCAACAATTCGCTGTCGATTCTTTGTGTACATTATACGGTGCACTACTCTTTCCTGGGTCACTGCATTGTGAAAACCTCTACCTCCACTAGACTGATTTGCCTGCCATTCAAAAGTCCATCGCCGAGGCTAAGTATTCTGTTTGTGTATCACGTCACACTGCAAAAGTAGGAAACCACGTCTTCATTCCAAATTGCGAATAAATGAGAACCGATGCCTTAAATTAGGAATGCTAATTAGAGGTTAACTAAGTGTGTAGGTAGGGTGCTCGGTAACACACTTACAGCTTTCATTAACGAAATTTTTTGCGTAGGAGGCAGGTGCAATGAATAAGCTGTTGCCACGAATTTAGCATTATCCATTAATTACCATTTTCACTTCTCCACGTGCCCAAAATATAGGTAACGCAAATCATTTAGATCGAAACAATATTAAAATGCTGTTACTTCTGTTTTTTGGCTTCACGAATTAGACGATGTATCTAAATTTCTCTAGCAAATAACCAAGCGCTTGCATTGGTGCTCTATTTTCAGGACTATACTTAATTAAGGCCAAATTTTGGCCATAAACAAAAAAATCTTGATTAAAACGCGCCAATCCACTGCTAAAATGCTCCATGCATTCCTCCGGTTTCTTTTTCTCGGAGTAATTAAAATAAAATGCAAAATTTGAAACGGTTAAACAACCAGGCAGTGAGATTGATTCGTTGAAAAACTTATTTTACTCTCCTTACTACGACAGAAAATCTGAACACCAATTCACAGTGACATCTTGTTCTCGTTCTCTCAATTGTCAATACTCTCACTATTTTACAAGAGTAGCACATCTTATATAAACGAATTGAGGAATAATGTATACTTGAAAATGCATGGAAAGCAAAGTGTATGAAAACTTTAAACTGAAAGATAATTCTTTGCAGGACGGACGCTACGTTCATTAGATTCCGCATCGGTATCCTTACTTGACTGTACAGTACAGAACCTAAGTTCACTTCCCGGATCCCTACTGGAGGGAGTAGCCCTTCACGGTCTAGTCATATCATCTGGGGAAATAACCGACATTCACCAAACAGCCTTCCAAGGACTAGCATCCCCACTTCAAGCCTTGGGACTTCCTAACAATCAACTTACCTCAATACCCACGCTCGCTCTAAAGTCGCTACCCGAACTCGACCGCCTCGACCTATCCGGTAATAAACTACGAATTCTCGATGCGGAGTCATTTAAGGTAAGAATTCCTCCGGGTCCGCATCTCCTAACCTCTCAGCTTTCAGGGTCTCTACAACCTTTCCTTCGTCGAGCTGAGCAACAACGTTCTAACCAAAATCTTTCCGACCACATTTTCAAAGCTCCCGCAGCTGCGAACGCTACGACTACGCGGCAATCGTCTCTCAATCGCGGCCTTATCAAAATTAGACCAAATATCTACGGTCGAAGAAATCGATCTTTCGGCGAACGCGTTCGTGGGCCCCATCGACTCCCGCACATTTCCCAAGATGCAATCCCTGAAGTACCTGCAGCTCGCTCACAATTCGTTTACCAGCATTAAAATGGGATGTCTGGAGGGATTGGGGAATTTGACCGTTCTCTCCCTTCAACATAACCAAATTGACGTTATCGAGGATCACGCCTTCATCTACATTTCGAGGATAATCGAACTGGATTTGTCACACAACAGGATCGTTGCGGTTTCCGGCGCGTCTTTGGCGCACTTACTGTCGTTGAACAACTTGGACTTAAGGCACAATTTTCTTCGAGCTTTAACGGCCGATTTAGTTCAGCCGCTGAAGAAATTGCAGAACCTTAGACTGGACGACAACGATATATCGATTGTTGCCAGTGATGCATTGAAGACTGGTATCGTACTTCGGAGGTTGACCTTATCTGGTACGTTGGCCTATTGTGCGCGTACACTTTAGCATTAATCTTTTTCAGAAAACCCACTTAATTGCGATTGCAGTCTCTCGGAGTTCGCACTATGGCTCGCTAACTCATCTTTGACCAAGGAAGACAAGGGTAGTGTGGTCTGCACTACGCCTCCCACCTTGGAAAACGGACTGTTGGTGGATATTCCTAATAAAGACTTGCTGTGCGGGGAGGACGAGCAAGATCCGGCAGTTACGTCCAATTCTGCCCCCGTCAAGGCGCACATTAATCTTCAAAATTTTTATTACGATGGCGATCAAATTACTCTGCAGTGGAACGTCGAGGAGAGGGCACTTCCGTATATGTGCGATGCAATCTTTGTCTACGAGGAGGAAGGCCCGAACGAAGTCCTGCACGAGTCGACGCCCTTGAAGTGCAACTCGTCGCAGCTAGACGACCCGAAGGTACTAAACGTTACTGTACCAAACTCTTCCCAGTTAGTGGAAGGGCGCAATTACCGCTACTGTGTGGTACTGCTCGAGTCTGCCTTTAGCTCGGACGACCTTTCCTTGGTACTGGGCTGCTCCGACGTTATGCCTTTGAAAACGCACGTCGAGATCAACACCACGGAGGGTACAGTCACGAATTCGCCCAACGTAACGGCGATATTCGCGTCGATTAAACAGGACGGTTTAAAAGTTGCTGTTGTCGTGAAACCTAAATACAGTTGCGAACTCGACGTCGCCGTATTTAGGAACAGTGGGTTACTCGCCCAGAAGAGACTCAGTTGTGACTCGCCGGTGCACGTGTTCGAAGGATTCTGTGATAACTCGTACAAAGTTTGTGCCCATATCGTGCAAGCTAGTGTGACGAAACCTACGTGTATTAAAGTGATCGAAAGTGCGGTACCAAAAGTGTTCGACATTAGTATGATCGGTTTAATATTAATTTTATTGTCTTTGACTACCGGAGTTTCCTTTGTGACGATCGTCTGGGTTTTGTTTAAAAACTCGAGGGCGAAAACTAGTACTCATCAGTGTTTTTTACCGCCGGAAGGGGAAGAACAGCAACATAACAAATATATCAAACTACAAGCCACCACGAAGCTTTAGGAATAAGTGTTAACGTAATTTTAGTTAATGTTATTATTTGTGCCATAATTTTTGTTTAGTTTCCACTTTTATAACAAGTTACAACGTATATGATACCGATTTGGACCATTTTTGACTGCTGCGCACAATTTCATTAGGTCTAAAAACTTTTATTTTTTACGTTTTTGTATTCTAGTCATACGATGCCGATAATCGTAAGTAGCGCTCAAAATATAGATCATATTTTGATAGCAGGAAGGTGTTTTCACATTGTCTCTCATTCTGGAGAGGAGTTCTTGAACAAATCTGAAATCTCGATTCAGTGAAAACCAGAGGCTTACAACGAGACTATTGCTCCACGAACGAGGTGAGTTATTTTTTAGCCAAATAATGACAAAAGGTTTGAACAAATTCCACATTCCACATTCCTTTGAAAGTGAGAATAGGTCTTCTAAGATTTGGTTTGGAGTAACAGTTAAGCACTAAACTTGGGGAAACTTATTTTAAGAGAAGGTACTATCATGTTATATTGTCGTTTTTTTTGTTTTGTGCTTATATTTTGGATCTACCATTTTTCTTAGCAATTCAATATCAGTGAAAGGTCATTTTCAACAGAACCGGAAGCTGCAATGGTAAAAATTCCATTCAATTCAAAATTGTTTTACAAAAATGGAACCTCTTAAAAGCCAGCTAACCCAATTAAATACTAACAGCTCTCCCATAGAAAAAATTGGCAATTATGATTTTGGCTGACATAAACATTACAATTTTACGTAGAACTTAAAACTGAAATAGTACCTATATAGGGTGTTTCCTTTAAAATAAGCAAGTGGGAATAAACTTCCGGTGTAACCGGAAATGTCACCAACTGGAAGATAATTTACATGAATACTTCTTATTCACAAATTTTCAAAATATTCTGAGGCATTCGTCGAAAAACACCTTGTACCTTGCCTTGTATATAACAGAATTTTTCATATTCAATATGGAACTTGGGAGAGACAACCAGCATATTATAGTAAAACTATATTATTGTGTAATGATTTATGAAATCATAGTTTCTAAAATATGCATTTATGGGAGAAAATTGAATAACATTATCTGTAACTTGCGAAAGCTATGGGCAATGTGCTTACCAAAAACCGAACAGTAACCTGAGCTTTGAATACTTATAGATGTATTTTACAATCAAAGCTTGAGACACGGTAATTAATTATTCGATTTGGAATGATCAAATTAATTGTGCACAGCACCAAAATCCAAAAATAAAGTGAAAGTGCATAACTCCTATACCTAGGTACGTAACACGTATTTATTAACGACCTTTGTGTTTATTTCTATGTGTGTATATAGTTGTTAATACATAACATGTCGATTTGTAACTGTACATATAATTGTAGTGTACATATTTTTTCCATAACATGTATTATAGAAGTAACCATTGCTTATTTACATCTTTGTTGTTATTTTGCTGTCATTAAAGATTAAATAAATGGATAAAACCTGACGAATTTCCTCTCCTCGCATTCACAGTTTGATAAGCGAAAGGGGAAATACGATAATTGTTTTGATTAAGTGTCATCCCGATCCTAACTTTCGAACAGTGCGCGCTTAATTTGCGACTATGCCTACAGTAATTTGCTTCCTAATTTTTACCGGTTTGGCATACGCGAAACAGTACGACGCGAACTCAACAGGTAAATACCCCAAAAGTGTAAATTAACGAAATCCGCCCCTATTTTTGCAGATTTGACAAAATGCAAAGTGCACTACACGCGTTCGGAGGGCTCGTACAAAGACTTCTACGAGATCGCCAATGAGGCGCACGGAAACGAGACGCTTTTGGACTTTCACTTTTCAGTTTTGGCACCGAGCGACGCCCACATACTGTTTACACCGTCAACTAAATTAAATAAGGGAGATCCTGCTTATGAGATAGTATTGGGGGCCGGCGGTAACATGTTTTCCGACATTCGACGCGCACAAAAAGCGTCGGTTAAAGCGTCCACTCGACTTAAAAACGTGCTGTCGTCGCTCGATCCCCAATCGTTCTGGATCCACATATCAAAACGTTAGAATTACCCTCATCTGTGTCGATCTTTCATACGGCTTGTTTTAGTCGGTCTCATTGAAATTGGGCGCGAAGGTGAAGAACTGGCGTTCCTCTCTTGGAAAGATAACGACCCGTTGCCGATAAAGTACTTCAGCTTTGGAACGTGGCCTGGAGTTGAAGCCAAGTGGTATTACGATTGCTATCCCAGTTCTGGTTCAAAGGTCAGTTCTTTTTGCGACGGCCGACTTTGAATCCGTATATTTTAGGAAGTTGTAAAAGAGCTGACGCACGTTCAACGTTTAAGGCATGATTTATTAAGCACTTACGATCCGTATATTCGACCGGTCCTTAAACATACCGACTTGACCATTCTTAAGATGCAAATGAATTTAAATTACATATCGCTGGTAAGCTTCTTATATTAGTTAATTTATTGCATAGTTTTGTATAATCTTTTCTTTGTTGGGAGCTTTAAAAGGATTTTATTCGCATGTAGTAAATTGTGGTGGAGATAATCTCTTCTACTGGAATCACTTGTTCTCTGCACAACTGCTGAGAATGTTGTTACCCTGTTTGACTATTGGACGAAATCGCTATGCTTTCCTTTGGCTTTGATTTATACCTATTCTGAAAATAAATGCTTTCTACCCAGCTGAACTTTAACTTTTAACCATTAAGAATGGATTTTGCGGAGATCCCTTTCATATGGGCTTGTTTTTTTCTCATTTAGGGTTGCTTTTCAGCACAGCAGTGTGACAAGTAAAAGAATTTTGCCCTAGAGTAGATTTTTGTTGGTAATCTCCTCCCCAAGTAGCCATTTTTGTTGTGGTTTTGACAATTCAGGGAGCAGTTAATTTTATCCATCCATCGGAAGTATATTTGATACCAGAAAGCGAAAGAGGAAATAAAATGGCCACTAATGTTGCTATCTACATGTGGATTTTAAAAGGTACCAGGTACCTACCCACTTTATCCTAAAATACACTTGTTTGGTGTTCCGTGTGACTCTCACTTTTCCGAAGATTTCCCTTCGTGTCCATTTAAAGGGTCTTTTGGAGTCTTGCTGCTTCAGGAGCAAGTATTATTTCCACTGGGACTCCCTTTTCGCATTCCTTATGGCTTCATTGTACGCTGTTACTGAACTACGATATGTATCCCAGCCATTCCATATTAGAAACTCTCCTATAGTCTCCGCCCGCATGTGCGTGAGTCCTTCATGTTTCCATGGGATTATCTCTCATTTCCGCGGGAAGCTGCCTTTGTAATATTTATTATGGCTGTTCGGAGATTAGTTTCCAATATTCTTAACAGGACTTTTTGTCTTCGAAGGACAGTCGCCAAGTTTTTCTTCCAGGAATATCTTACATGGGGCAGTCGCCAGTCGGATTTCCTCGGGTCGGCCTTTGATGATGTCAATCCAAACTATTAGTCTTACACATTTGGGAAGACTTCAAATAACGAAACTATGTCTAGGTGTCTCCTTTGAGGTCTTTCTGAAGGGTGGCAGTTGTTCCCACCGTTGAGTCCGAGATAATTTCGGCCGATTGCGATATCTGTCTTCTGTCCCGGAGCACGAAGGGGTTTCGAGTGACCTTTCAGGTCTTCAACTTCTATCATTGGGTTAGTGTGTTAGTATTTTGATTATCTGTAATTTCGATATCTAAACATAGATTACAAATTTCGTATAGTTTAATTATAATGCTCAAATGAAGTCTACGATTATTATATTATATAATATATTATTACCAAATGCGATCTTTTGATCTGCTTGAAAATCCAGTAAAAAATAGCAATGTAATCCCCCAAAAATATCGCTTCTCGCCTTAAAAATTCCCGGCTCAAAAAAGTCTTAGAACTTGCTTCATACGTAATTATAGGCACTCTCCCTTGTCTGCCCTCATTTGTAGAAGTTAATTTTTGACTTGGCGGGGCCAAGGATTTTCATCCGTTTTACTGGTATCCTTATTCTTTATTATGGAATTCTATCGTTTGATTTAATAAATTGTAATTTATTGTTGCTCTTCGCGTAATTTAATTTCAGAATGAATACAAATCCACGCTAGAGCTTAGAGGAACCACAAAATTGGTAAGTAAGCACTTTCAAACATTTTTCCGAACTTTAATTGGAAACATTCAGTCTTGGAACGATGAGAAGATGCGGTGGAATGTGAGTGACTATGGAAACACGAAAAGTCTACACATTGTTAGTCGACAAATTTGGCAACCTGATTTTGTCGTATACAAGTAAGTATCTGACAAAAGGAATGCACGATAATGTCTCGCAGCGCCATAGATTTAATGGGAAGGGACGTTCTTGGCGACCACGTTATGGTTGTAACGCATGATGGCACTGTCCAATGGAATCCACCTATCCGCATAAAAGCCTGGTGCAACATAACCGACTTGGGGCACTGGCCCATTGACACGCATTCCTGTTTGGTATCCTTGGGGGTGTGGAACGAATTTGAATTTATTCAACTTCACTTTAATAAAGAGGAAAGCGACATTGTAAGTCGGAGAAACAGTTGTTAAAGTTGCTCAATTTGCTTTCAGCTCGGCCAACACTTCCAAACTGAATGGGAAGTAGTAGACGTGACAATTATAGCCAATTTTTCTTGGGATTTTAAGCAAGCTAACAACACAAAACCCGCATTTTTTAAGATTCTGTTTACATTGAAACGTAACTCTAGCGCTTACAGTTTGGCCTTTTTTACTCCTTTTTTGGGTAACGAGTAAAGTCTTTGTGTAACTCGCCATTTATCACAATTTGTAGTTGTTGCCTGTGGAATGCTATTGACGTTTTGTGTTTCTCCATTTGGACATCTAAAGATATCGTTGTGCTGCCTCCAGTTGGTTATAATCTCGTTGGTGCTTGTCAATCTTGCTGAAACCATACCGATACTTCCAGATAGAGTTCCGTACTTAGGTAGGTAGATATACGTACGCTCATATGAAGAAAAGCTCAACTTACACTTTCAGTTTTACTATACAGCTACTCTTGCTTCGCAAGTATCCTTTGCATCATCATATCAATCTGTGTAATCAACCTATCAAGATCTACATATGATTCACCAGTACCACACTGCATATTTACATTCCTCACCGCTACTCCCACACGTATTATTTTACTTCTTCCGCGAGCACAGGTAAGTTTCTGAGTAGTGCAGAAGTAATAGATATGAAATCTAATTTCAGGTTTCTACTCATTATGGTAAAATAGATGACCTTCCCATCTTAAGCAGCGACGAGAACGTTCAAGAAACATGGATTTTGCTAGGGAAAGTAATTGATAGGATCTGCCTTTATGTCTACATTATATTGATTATGTACGCGGTATGTTCGCAGTATTAATATCTTCAAGGTGTATTACATTTTGTAAAAGTCATTTTTATACCAACCTGCAACCAAAAATAAAGATAAACATACATTTCGCTAAGACGAACAACAAAGACCAGTTGTTCTGTCTTTGGGTGATAAAGGCAGGACAGTTCAGGAGAATGTGCTGGATGTACTGTTACTGGTGACTGACAGGTGGGGCAGAATGGGGGATCATGGCATAGAATCTCAGAATGACTCCCACCCAATCTTTCTTAGGTATACCTAAGTAATTAATGGTGAATTATCAACCCAGACGGTCATTTCTAATCATTAACTCGTTACTGTTTTTCTGCACTACCAATGTTAAATGCTCTTTGGCGCCTTTATTTTAAACCCGACGCAAAAAGCGTGTAAGACTTTATTGTAAATCTCACCAAGACGCTTATACTTTTCGAACAAATGAAATTCCCGTGAAAGTTGCCGAGTTATTAAAACACTTTTCGAAGTTCCCACAGAATACGAGAAAAAACGCGATTTCCCAAAGGCGGTACGGTACGAAGTTCGGCGGGACTGCTAGTCAAATATAATGATTAATTCTTACAATTCCTTAAAAAGAGTTTTTTATTACATTTGTGGAAGGTAAAAGTCTATACGGTCATTTCAAAAAGTTAAAAGTCAATAAAACACGAATTGTGAATATCAAACTTCAAGGAATCGAACGAAAGCACCATTTTTACAAACGATAAATTGTGTGAGTGAGTGCCATCCATTTTAACTAAAAATGAGCAATAAACAATAAATCGAGCAGGAAAGAAACAGTTCTCATTTATTCAGTTTCATGAAGTTCCACATAGGTACTTATAACCATTTGAATATTATTTCATTGTTTGATCAATAGCTTGCAGTTTACACAGAATGTTTAAATCTATCAGTGATTCGAGCTCTCTTTTGTCTAATTTAAGGTTGTAAAACCGCAATACTCAGTTCTATTTCATCAATTTGTTCAATATTACAGTTTGGATTCAATAGAAGACGAAGAAGATGGACCTTGGCAGGGATTGATGCATAAATTTTCGGTGTTTCACTTAGATTCAATAAACGCGAGGTTTAAAGAAGTAAAATATAAGTTAGCAAAAGGCGGGCGCAAGGCAGAAGAGGGATTAAATAAGAATGAATTTGTTGGTGCCATTGAAGAAATTTTCGGTTTGTATCATAATTGGTTTTCCACTTCGTCTTTGTCAAAAGCAAATATACGTGCATTGAAATCGTTTATTGTATTCTAGATTAAATTTTAACACAAAATGTTAAAGCTATCGAAGTTAATGGTATCCACCCCCATGGTGTTTTCCGCCTTCACCATGATGGTCTCCACCTCCACCATGATGATATCCACCACCCTCGCCATGATGGTGTTGTTCACCTTGTCCGTAATTGTGTTTGTTACCATGACCTTTGTGATGCCATTCTCCTCCACCTTCATGGTGTCCTTCACTTCCACCATAATGGTGTTCTCCACCGTGTCCGTAATGGTGTTTATCGTCAACATCCTTATGGTGACCTTCTCCGTCATGATGATGTCCTTCGCCTTGGTAATGTTCTTTTTCCCCTCCTAGATGAAGTCCTTCGCCACCACCATGGTGAGGACCTGCGCCCCCGTAGTGTCCACCCTCGCCTTCTTCATAATGATGACTTCCACCTGGCTCGTGGTGAGCTCCCCCGCCATATTTATCAGCTTGTACGCAGCCTAATATTATCAACCCAACTACACAGCATATCTGCAAATGAAACGATATTGTTTAAGAACATAGCCCTTCATCTCTTACCAAAAGTCTATGCCCCATCTTCCGTCGTTTCGAGTACACACCACGTAGAGTGAATACCTCCTGCTGCGAGGAGCAGAAAATTTATACGCATTCCCAATGACGTCGTTACAGAGTGGTTCCCTTTTTTACACAATTAGGTAATATACATATCTAAGAACAACTAATTTAGATTCTAATGGTATGCACACCTTGTTTACGGTGCAATTAACACTGTGATAATTACTCGATTAAATTGGTTCATACATAAAATTTTTCCCAAGAAATAAACACCACAACCTTCAATTCTGCAAAACCATTAGACCGTTATCAAAATCATATCACTTACCGATCATTTAAAACTAATTAATGACACATCCGTAATGGAACAGTCGATTATTTCTCTGAAGCTATCGGTCAGTTGTTCCAACCGCATACCTCTATACCTAATTTACTTTGAGGACTTTCCGAAGTGATTTATGGTTCATTGGACCTTACATATAATTTTTTAATTGTTTTCAACTTAAATTTAACTTCTGTCTTAAAATTGCGATGCAAATAGGTATCCTATTATTGCAAAACTTTTTGAATTTTTTTGATTTTACCCAGCAAATTTAAGGGTTAGCCCATCATACTCGCATACCCGGTAGCATTGCGCAAGGAGTATCAGTTAGTTTGCATTGTAGCAGTAACTTGCTGTACAAATCGATTAGACTTCTCAATCAAAAGTTATAGACAGAAACCAATTTCGAAAGAAAATTCAAAGGGCTGTAACTTTTGAACTAGTAGTCCAATCTTGGAACTGTTTGAAATTATGGATTCTACACGCCACATTCTATAAGACAATTTTTTTTCCGGGTCGATCTGAGACAATTTTTTTCTCGGGCCTCAAAAAAAGGCAGTGTAGTATAACCTTCCTTTTTTACCAAAAATCGACTATACCAAAATTTCTCGGGAAAACACTTTTTCGTATTAATTTTGGTGCGTAGAATGCAAAACAATTCGTACTTTTTCGATTAGACTTCTCAATCAAAAGTTATACTCGTAGACTAGAAACCAATTTCGAAAGAAAATTCAAAGGGCTGTAACTTTTGAACTAGTATCCCAATCTTGGAACTGTTTGAAATTATGGGATCTACAGGCCACATTCTATAAGAAACTTTTTTTCCGGGTCGATCTGAGACAATTTTTTCACAAAATTAGTATTTTTTGGAACTGTCTTGTATCATGACATGTTTTTTCGTTTTGTATAGTTCGTATATCCGTGCGGAACATAACTTTCTGAGTACAACTGGCCGCTTCGGTTTGTTGTCAAAACAAAAAATAAGAATCTTTCTTTTGATTCTTCACTTCGAATTCTTTTATTTCTCCGAGTGCTTCAGAATCTTCGAAGACGTCTACTTTCCGAGTTCATCAGACTTTTGCCAATGCTTCTGACTTGTTCTTTCAAATGTTTAAATTCGTGGGTCACCATAATGCTTCAGATTTTTCCAAATCTTTTATTCTCCAGATCTTTTGCATTAATCAATTTTATATTCAACGGATTCTTTAATTTTTTCGAATTCTATCATCGATTTTTGGGTCTGTTTTTAGATTAATTAAATTCTTTAGATCAGTCCGATCTTTCAGATTCTGAAGAACTTCGGACCTTTTTGTTAAACATTAGTTTATATGTTCAGCTTTACAGTGATTCTCCTAATTTATATTTATTTTTCTAGATTTTGGAAATTCTGCGCATTCTTTAGATTTTTTAGATAGTTGGTTTTGTTGGCAGCCATGGTTATTACTTGGGGCAATTATTTATCATGCATGTATTGAAAGAATGGATTGTGCATGCGCAGATGCACCAAAAGAAGGTGTGTTCTAAAAAAAATAAATTAAATGTACATAAAAAAGTAGGCTGTGTATTCGTACAGTAAAAAGCGCAAGAAAATTATTACGCATGCGCGTATTTGTGATCCAATTCTTCTGAAAATTCAACGGAAGATGCTTCCTATAAAAGGGAATTGAAATCACGTGTCAAAAAATTAGATTGCGTGTGCGCAGACGTTATTAGGAACTTAGTGGCTTTTTTAGAATATGCAAGTTCTTTTTTTCTCTGGTCTTGAAACTTAAAAAAAACTCTTTCAATTCCTTTAGTCCTTGGATTCTTCTGATTTTCACAATTCTTCAAAAATTCAAATTATTTAGGTCCATCAGACTCTTCAGATTCTTAGATCTCTTCAAATTCTTCTTTCAGTTTTTTAGAGTCTTTCAATTTGGAGCCTATAATCCTGCAATTTTTCGGATGTGTTAAATAACACATTATCGACCGGAAATCTTATTCCCTGGATTTTTGGATTCAGTATAGGTCCCTTTTCAGCAGTATTGTTGAAGATTAAAAGACTTGTACTGCTTACAGGTAATTGCAAGCATTCTGTACAAGCTTCAATTCTCTACAATCAAATTGACAAGAAAGAACATGGAACAATCACATGGGACCAATTTTTAAATTTTGTAATCGGAAATTCCCCCACCGACTACCAACCCCCATTCACCCTCAATGTAGGGCGCATTTTCAGTCCGCCCCACGTCAAGGTATTCCTTTAGTTTAAAACAATGCAAATATTTGAATACTTAATCCTTGCAGAAAGATACGGTGTCCAAAATAGTCTTGATAGAAACAGAAAAATATTTCTGCTACGCGATCATATCGAAGTACGGCCACGTTGGTCTTTACGATGGTAACATGAACTTCCAAACGTCTTATCATATGATCATGGCTCGCGAAGATATCGACAGAAAGGAGAAGGAGAGGAGAAGAAGAAACCGATGGGTTACCGATGCTCTATTCCTGAAGGATGCGCTTCTGTTGTTAATTGCGAGCTCGGCGAGGAGCGTTACCATTTATGACGCATCCGGTTTAACCCATGTTGCCTTGTGGTTAATTTTAGGTCTTCCGAATATAGTTCAATGTCTTGCTTACCATTTCCATCTTGTGAACGGAAAGTTGACGTTGTACATGGGAGATGATTCCGGTCAGCTGCTCAGTGTGGAATTTCTGCAGCCTAAAAATGGATTACTGCGCAAGAAGCATAGCGATAAGCTCAGTTTTTTTTATTGGATTGTAAGTAACATGCTCAAACGTGCTTTCGACAATGAGAATACTTTCAGCAACTGTACAACGAAAAAGAATTTGTAACCATTAGTCACTTAGGACGTCCACACCATGACAGCATTACTGCAATCGAATACTGTAAACAAAACGACACTATTGTAACTTCCAGTAGAGATGCCACAACGTCCGTTACAATCCGTGCTGTAGAAAACCGAAGGCACAATTATTCCTTCCAAATGCACCGAGTAAGTGCTTTTCGAACAAGTAATTTCACATTCCACTGCCTATCCAGGGGGCCAGTTGTTTTGCAATTAGTACAAGTTTAAAAGTTCTGATTACTGGAAGTGATGATGGAACAGTCAGAATTTGGAATGTTGTCGTCAAAGATAAGCCAATTGCCACTCTTAAAGAACACCAAAAGGGTATTGTCGACCTGAAAATAGTTGAGCAGGAAGGACTATTCTTCAGCCTCTCCAAAGATGGGGTTGTACACTCTTCACGAGCACTGCAGTGTCTGAACTATTTTGTTGCAGGTTTTTAAACTATGGGCAATTAAAGAGCAAAGATGTACTCAATCTCGGTGCCTGAAATTTCCGTCATTTCAGGTGCTGGGTAAAAGTATAGAGTGGGGTTGTAATTCTATATACCCGGGACCAAAGGTGATTGTTCAAGAAAATGCAGCGGACTCACGGTATGTTGATGGCACTAATTCGACTATTTCCACTTTTGAGATTGTAGGACCAATTCCGTATGGTTGAGACCGCACTTACTTGTGACTTGCTGTAATTATATAGCCCAACTCATTGTGTCTTTCACAGATACTTTGCGGGATGTGAGTTATACTGTTCTACCTCCACCACCACTCCAGAACAGTGTACTAATCCCCAAAACTTGGAAAATTGGAGTCGATGTTAAAGAAGGACCTAATCTAAAAACAGCAGAGGACGAGATTGGCCATGAAATGTTCACCGAGAACACGAAATCACTACAGTTTGTCCTGGACAAAAACCTCTTTCTTGAAAATGATGTTAAGAATGATATCAATTTTCGTTTGGCATGTTTGGAACAGACGAAGTTAAAGGTAAATCAGTATTTGGGAGGAGATTTTCTATTTAATTGTGACTTGCGCAGATGCACATGATGGTATCCAATTGTGCGCCTTATCTTGCATTGAAACTGCCCGAAATTGAGGAGGTGAAATTGTCATCTAATCTACCTATTCCTAACAGTCGGAAAATTAAATCTCTGGTTGAGAGAACTCAACGTATGCTTTCGGATGCGGCTACCAAAACTAGAGTGTTTTTGGAGCAGTCTTCTAGTAGCCATACTCAATCCTCTCGTAGCAGTATAGTGACCTTCGAATAGACCTGTTTTAATCGTTTCCACGATTTCAAACTTTATTTGGGACCAATAATAAATTAACTTGAAATCCAATTAATTAATAAAGTTATGATGTAGTAAAGACAACTACATCAAGGTCTCGTGCAAGGGAGAGTGATTCGTTTAATTACTGTAGAATTGCTCTTGCGGAAATGATGTTTTCATAAAAAAAAACTATAATAATTAACTATGTTTGAAATCTAAATGCATTCACAAAGATTATGATTATACTTTCAATTGTTTAATTTACTAATTTATCAACAAATGTCTTTAGTTGATAAACTGCTTTAGTTTGTAGATTAAAGCCTTAATTTCCAAGATCTTTGGGCGTTTTCCCATCGAAATAAACCTAGGAATAACGATTTTTTATTAGTATTAAGTCGAATAGTCAGAGAATCACTTAATTTTCTCCTTAGGTGCCCGGATTTTAAGCGCCGAATGGTAAGTAAACGACCCAATATCTTAAAAAGTATAGAAGTAACGAAGAAAGAATTTTCCGTGCCTAAAAAGGTTTTAGAATCATAATTTTTGAGGAATTTTTCAAAAGACAAATGAGCTTAAACCTTAAATGTGAGAATTTCGTGAACGGAGTATCAGAATAGGGTACTCGCAAAAGGATAATGATATAATTGGTGACTAAACGTTTATGTTAGTGGGGTCAAAACTTCAAATGGGAATATCTCGAGAGGGGAGACAGAGGCAGTAACACTTTACCTGATAGTTTTACGGCCTCCTGTCACGTTACCAGACTCCTGTCAAAACTGCCACATTCCTATTAATTAAAGTTCTATATGAAAACTGAAATTTTATATTAAAAAAGACGATGTTGGCACTAGTGGAGACAGATGACGCAGGCGTAGAGTCGTGATCGTGATGCAAGGAACTGCGAAGGTGTGCTGCGATTATTGTAGTTTACAGTTATTTAATAAATTCTGATACTGGCGTGTTTATTTGTCCCCACAAGACTTTTTTTACGTCCAGCATTTGTTATCTAATACATGCAACCAACATGAAGTTTTGAAGCATACTGTATATATTTTTTTTTTTTGAATTCAGGATGTTTTTCCACATCTAAAAATGTTGCTTTTTATGGGGTCGTATAACAAAATGTCCAAAAAAATTGATTTCAAAAAAGCCGTGTGTAATAAAAGTTAAGAGAGATTGAAATTTTTGTTTATTATAATGAACATAATAGTTGGTTATGACTTCACGATTACGAAGGCTCTTTTTGAATGATTCTAGCGATATACCACTTCAGTGGCGTACGTAGAAATGTATTCTGGGGGGGGGGGATTAAACAAGTTCGTTCGTGGTACAATTCAGTCACCCAGTGCGTACTAGAAGGGGGAGGGGGGGGGGTAAGAAATAGAAATTGGCTTGCAGGGTGCTGATGCTGGTAGTCATTTATCTATTTATTATTTACAGGCGAAAAAGATTAGATTAGAACGGTATTTTATTTCTTACTGCTGACAGGCCCCTTTACTGCTTTTGCTTTAATTAGTCAACGAAAACTTTGAATAATAGGTATATTTATGAGCAAAAAACCAATTTCGACAAAAAATTCAAAGGGCTGTAACTTTTGATCTAGTAGTCCGATCTTGGAACTGTTTGGAATTATGGATTCTACAGGCCACATTCTATAAGAAAATATTTTTTTCCGGTCGATCTGAGACAATTTTTTTTCTGGGCAAAAAAAGGCAGTGTGTAAGTAACCTTCCTTTTTTACAAAAAATCGACTACACCAAAATTTCTCGGGAAAACACTTTCTCTTATTAATTTTGGTGCGTAGAATCCAAAACAATTCGTACTTTTTCGATTAGACTTCTCAATCAAAAGCTATAGACTAAAAACCAATTTCAATTCAATTCAATTCAATTTAATTCTTTTCCTTTGGCATACAACAGTACATAGAACTGTTTGAAATTATGGGATCTACAGGCCACATTCTATAAGAAAATTTTTTTCCGGGTCGATCTGAGACAATTTTTTTCTCGGGCCTCAAAAAAGGCAGTGTATAACCTTCCTTTTTTTACCAAAAATCGACTACACCAAAATTTCTCGGGAAAACACTTTTTCTTATTAATTTTGGTGCGTAGAATCCAAAACAATTCGAACTTTTTCGATTAGACTTCTCAATCAAAAGTTATAGACTCTAAACCAATTTCGAAAGAAAATTCAAAGAGCTGTAACTTTTGAACTAGTAGCCCAATCTTGGAATTGTTTGAAATTATGGGATCCGAAATACCAAAATTTCTCGGGAAAACACTTTTTCTTATTCATTTGGGTGCGTAGAATCCTAAACGATTCGTACTTTTTCGATTAGACGTCTGAATCAAAAGTTATGGGCAAAAATATTCCTGTTTTTAAAATTTAAAATTCTTATTTTCGTCATTTCGTGAAAGGCAGGTAGCAGGTACCTCACCTCAGTAGCAGTACTAGTACCTGATACCTATTTGTTTTTTTTTTTTTTTTTTTTGTATTGAGCTTCGACAGCTATGGTCATTAGCTCTTGTTGCTAATTTAAATGTTATTGTACATGTCTATTACTTTCAAATACGACATTAGGTCTCGATAATTATCACTAATGTTGTAATTGCTTCTTATAAGCTCTAAATGGCCACATTCAAAAATGAAGTGTACTACCGTTAATTCGTGTCCACATCTGGTACATATAGGAACTGGTTCTCCCTTCAGTAGGTATGTATGCGTTACTGCAGTATGGCCTATTCTCAATCTAATTAATTTTGATATGTCTCTTCTAGTGAGTGCCGGATTATCCCATTTAGCTATGGTAGGTTTGATGTTTTTAAGGTGAGTATTACACATATCCCAATCATCTTGCCATTTGGAAACAGTTACACGATTATATTATTTTTCAAATCTTTGTGTTTTATTTCAGGTACATCGACCGCATCCTGTTTGGTTGCTTCCAGGGCTACCTTGTCAGCTTCCTCATTACCCTGTATGCCCACATGACTGGGGACCCATAGTAAGGTAATATGCTTTCCTTGATTTTCTAAGTATACGATAGATGAATGACACCATTGTGTTATCGTATCATTGTCTATTTTGGGCATCAATGTAGCGAATTGCCGATCGATGCCGAATAGCCAAATCGTTGACTGCCAACACTGATCACTCACTGAATAGTGAATACTACAGAATATTTAGATTTTAGTGACTTTAGACTTTAACCAAAACCAAAATTGCTCTCTATAGGGTTTACCAATAGGGACGATAGGATTTTAAACGTTTAAGGCGGCTATGTTGGATGCCAAACATTTGACATATGCTGTCAGTTGTCATCAGTAAGGCTTGCCATTTCATCATGTTCACGTTGCCTCAACGCTTGGAAATTATCCAGCAACATGCCACACAGCGAACGCTACAATGGACTTATTGCGTCAACAGTTTGGTGAATCGTTGATTTCTCAAAATGGCCCCCACAATTGGCCGCCAAGGTCATGCGATTTAACACCATTGGACTTCTTTTTGTGGGGCTATGTGAAGTCAAAGGTTTATGCGAATAAACCCAAGACTCTTGACGAGCTCGAGGCCAACATTCGAGCGACCGAGCTGCCATTCCACCCGATATGATCCACCGAGTCATCGAAAATTGGTCCGATCGGATGAGCCAGTGCAAAAAGAGCCGCGGTGGCCATTTGAACGATATTTTGTTTAAATCATAAATGGCATGAAATACAGCATCTAATAAAACCAATCACACCTAAATTTGACCAAATTGACTGTGTTTTATTTCAATTTAAAATCCTATCGCTCTTATTGGTAAACCCGTTATATGTAGCTATATATTATTGCCTTTATTTTAAAGTGGGCGGAGCGGATAGCGGAGTATTACCTAAATACCTAATAGCTATGATGATAACTCAATTCTTCTTGGGGGGGGGGGATATAACCCCTTCATCCCCTCCCGTAAATACGCCACAGTACCACTTGCTACAGGGGGTCCAACGAACAGTTGGGTCGTATTATCTGCGAAACTAATACGACTAACTTAGTCATTTAGTCGGGTGGTTATGCTTTTGTATGTTTTAGTAGGTATTTATTTAAGTGTTCAGATAGAAGAAGATTATCAGCGATTTTCTTATATGTGATATTTGTACCTTTTTTAAAATCTGAATGTAAATGACGATGTCAATATTTCTTTTGAAATATGTATATTATGCCTGAACTATTGTATATGTATTACAATGTCTGAACTACACAATATAGTGTGTTAAAGGCGGTGTAAATTTTATTGTACTGTGGTGTAAATCGACCTTCACAAAAGGAGAAGTAATCTATTGTTGTTTGGCGCTAAAATCAAACACTCTGTAGATAGATTTAACTTGGGTTGAACGTTTATTATTTATTTATTTTAGATAACAAAATGATATATAAATTTCAAATTTAAAAATTAAATTTTATATACGAATGTGGGGTTATGTAACAAACACCACCCAGATTGTACAACGTCATAAGAAGTAGTACCGTTATAAAAGGCTTAATTTATACAATTTGTCTTTATCGAATTTATTAAAACAGTAAATACTAACAAGGGCGTTATTTTTTAAGGCTCTTCGAAATACATTCCCGCGCGTATTTGCAATTTAGGAATTGATCGCCCGGTTATTTTCCCGCCCGTTCGTGCGGAGGATGCGCGTTGTTGAGCTCGATTTCGATATCAAATGTGGCGTCGTATGTGAATTTTGTTGTTTATTTATATCGTTCTTTGGGCAATAAAAATGGTCCTATCAGAAGATTCCAATGACCATTTATTTAAAAAACACCAGGAATTGAGTACGAAATTAAACTTGGATATTAACACCATCACTCAGGCATGGCAAAGTTTCCAAACCATACAAACTAATTACAGTCTGGAGGTAACCAGGTGCACTTCTTAGAGGAGAAATTGACCGACTCGTATTTTTCAGGGCGAAGCCTTGCACTGGCTGGGATGTGCTGTATTTGTAGCATGTAGAAAGACGACGACTCCTACTGTAAGTCGTAGCACAGTTGAAGGCAACTGTGTAAGTCTAACAAGCCTACTACGACATTGTAATTTAAGGTAAGGCTCAACTACATTGAATGTTAATCATGTAAGAAATTCATCCCCGCGTAAATAAAACCTACGGTGTCCTCTGTGCCAAGTGTAACCGAAATCTTGTTACAGTTTGACACAGTTCTTTAACAAAATTACCAAATGGGCGGATATGGCTAATTTATCCGAAGACTTCCGGCAGAAGATCAAACGACTTGAAGGCAATTTTGCCGTCTCGTATAACATATTTAAAAAGTTCACCCCTATATTTAATGAAATCTTCAAAGGGCCGATAGATATGGACTTGCGCTCATCACGAAATCGCAAAACAAAGTGAGTTTCAGTTATGTATAAACGTCGATTTCTAAGTGTAACCGTTTTAAGGGCGCCGTTATGTACACCTACCAAAGTATTCGAATTCTGCTGGACGCTTTTTACAACTGTGAAGGGGCAAAATCCATTGTACAGCGAAGATATTGTTATGTCGTATCACTTGTTACAAGCTTGTTGTGATCTTGCATTTAGAAATGCGTTTTTAGATAATCGGAAAGATTTGTTGAACCCCAGCTTTCCAGGTCTGTATAACCATTCTATTTAAAAAGTTGCATTAGTGCCATGGGAAGGAGAGATAATATGTGTGCCTGTAACACAAGTCGTACAAGTCCTACAATAAGTTAGAATATATTTTACACTTTTAGCTTTTTCATAACACAACTCATTTGCATATACCGAATTCAGGACTTGTAGTTATAGTTACAGGCAGATTACTTGTAACTTGTATACTTGTTACAATTGTATAGTTTGCGTTATAGGCCCCTGAAAGTAACTTGTTTAACAAGAGGAATCCATCTGAGAGCAATTTTTTTTCTATTTTACAATCTCAATTTTGCAAAGCCAATTTTGACGACGAATTTTAAGAAAGACCCTTTCGGAGTAGGCTGTTTTAGGAATAACTTCTTTACCCCATATGTATGATCCTTTCTACGACTACATGATGATATACAGTGTGTCCCCGGATGGACTGAACAAGAGGGAAAAAATTTTTAATTTTAACTTTACGCAAAAATGTCATAAATATAAAATAAAATGTTTCTCTTAACCTCTAAGGTGTCTTTTTTAACTTGATTCGCTTATCAGGTTGCCATGGAAGATACAATGATAGTTTGATTTAATCAAAAACATGCAACTTAGAAAAATTTCCGCTGTAGATTTTGCGTTTTTTGTAATTTTCTCAGCTGCTAAAAGGAATATCTAGATTTTTATTTCAGAATAGGTGGTTTTGAGGCAAGCAAAAATTTTTATAAAAAATGACATTTTTGCGTAAAGTTAAAATTAAAAATTTTTTCCTTCTTGTTCAGTCCATCCGGGGACACACTGTATAGTGATATTTATTTAGAAGTAGACATAGGGATTTATATGTATTGTTTTTCCCTGTGTCTACTTTTAAAAGACAAAATCTCTTCTGAAGGGCGCCTAATTTTATGCATCCAAAATGACTTTTTAAAACAAATAAACATCTGGCAACTTAAACTAAGTGCTTTTAATAATTAATTAATTAATATGACAGCCAGATCTTGATTTGTTTTAAGAAGTTATTTTGGTTGCATAAAATTAGGCGCCCTTCACAAGAGATTTTGTCGGTAGACAGGGAAAAACAAGACACATAAATCCCTATATTTACTTCTTAATAAATAGCAGTATACATTTCATGCTGTTACAAAAAACTATCACGTAACTCTTAAATGTACACAAATAAATAAATTTTAAATGGTATAGCAAAATAATTATTACTGTCTCCTCAGATAATACCCTGAAAAATGATATCGTACTTTACTTTCGGATGAACCGTGTTTATTTTTCAAATTTTGTACCTTTTAGTGCCTCATCTCTAAAACTGGAATTGCCCCTATCAGCCCCCACTTTTTTTCCTGTAATTTAATCTGTGGAGTTTCTGTTAGATGGCGCTGTTCTATCATGGCTAAAGACCTTGTATACTAACAGCTAAGTAAGCACAGCCCATTAGTACTTCTTTGCTTTAAACTCTACATTTCAGCTAGGTGAAGTGTATCGTACCCACAGTGTTATACGAGTGCTGTTCAGAAAGTAACAAACTTTTGAGTTTAGCATGGCGGGGGGGAAGGCTAAGAGCCGCCATGTTGGAGTCGAAAACTCCCTACGCCGTAATGCAAATTTTACAAAATCTATTCAAAGACATGCCACCAGTTTTTGTATCTCGCATGACTGTTGAGAAAAAAATTAAAGAAGATATTTCACCACTTTTATGAGGGTGGCTGTCCATATTCATATGTAACACCCTGCGTGAATAAGTATATTTTTCATTTGTAATTTAAGGCTCTGTAGTCAATTTGTATTTCAGTGTTATTGCAATTGCCCATTTTTCCAACGAATTTCAAAAATTGGTCCAATTTTAAATTGTTGGTACCTACTTTTTGAACTCTCTAATTGATGTTCTACAATCTTTAGGGAGGGGGGGTAGTGGATTTTATCGTTCCTTTAGGAGCCACAACGCATTAAAAAAAGGTTAACTCAGTTTTTTAGAAAAGTTGGAAAAAATGGGCTTTTTTTGATCGCTTGTAAAAATTTTTCTATTGGACCGATTTTGTTTGTTTTTTTTATCGACGCAGAATTTTGTTTTCTTTACTTTACTAAAGAAGTGTTATTCATAAAATATGGACCGTTTTCGAGTTTTAAACGAAAAACTGAAAAAAGTCCGAACGTTTTGAGGTTTTTTGGCTGCCAAAAGTTGTGCCGGGAAAAAATTGGTGTGCACTCTTCAAATACATGTTATTTGGGCCCAAATGGACCATTTAAAACGTTAAAATCGTTTACACCACATTTTGCAGGAATCGGCCCTTCTGACTGTTCCCCATATTGGACTATCTGAGGAAACTGATAATTTTAGATGGGAAATATACACCTAGTATTGTACGTACCCCCCGCCCCGTCAAAAGGAAATATTATTACAGCCTCATTATAGGTTTTTTTTTATTTCTTGAAGCATCCTGATGGGATGCAAAAGCTTTTAGAAATAAAAAATTATTTCCAATGTACCTACGCAGGATAATAGGATATCCATTTTTGGTCTTGGGAATATGTGACATTATGATTTATAAATCAACAGCATTCAAATAAATAAATAATAAATAGTAATTTATCTAATCAATATCATTAGGAACGGCGTAACAATATGTAGGGTAATGCCAGGTAGTTTCTTTTGTTTTCCCTTTCAAGTAATGAGTTGTGGCCTCAGGCGTTATAAGTGCAATTTGAGTTGCCTATCCTTACGTTAGCGTTTTGATTTTTTTCTGAAGATCGCGAAACATATTTTTTTAAATATATGCCCTATCATAATAGATGGAAATAATATCTTTAAAGGGGTAGTATACCCAAAATCAAAAAAATTGTAGAACAAAATCTAAGAACAACATTTCAAACCGGAGTTTTCTACGATGAGTAGTTTTCAAAATATTAACGATGAAAGTTTGAAAGACAGAACATGTGACGTCATCCCGACATCGTGAGTGCGGCGGCACGGATCCAAGCAGTCCGAACGCGTCAGTTCTTTCATATTCTATTTCGCTTTCCCTTGAAAAAATCAAGAAATCCTTACTGAAGTATCATCCGAACATATATCATCATATAAATTTGAATATTTGTAATAAATTTCTGTGCCCAGCTCAGATTGGATACCTATGCTTTCAGTAAGCGGTATTGGTGCCATTTGATTCAGTTCTTCTGTTTGATTGTGGCATATGTTTGATGTTGAACTGGTTTCTCCACTACGAAATTTATCGTTTACCCACAATAAGCAATCAGCCACAATCTTACTTTCTTAGATAAGTTGACTGACGTTTTATAGCTTTATTAGGACCTTTGTTTCCTGTGAGATGTAAAGAAGGGATTGCAGTATTATTGTCAGCCTTCTCAAAACTTTATGCTGAGGCACGGGTCATTTCCTTTTTGTATCTTCCAAAAAAAATTATCATCTTTAAAGTGGACACTGCAAACGACGTGACTATACTATGATTCAGCGGTTTTTTCTACTTTTCCAGACGTTATTTCGACACGGCTCCTTCTTTTCTGGGGGATAATTTGCAATGTAACATTGGCATTTTTCAAATTATTGTTGCAGCGGAAAACACAAAGTTAGGCATTTTTGAAAATAATGCCAATCACTGACTACCAGTCTCAAATTAACACGTCAAACGTCATCGAATCCATATATTGCTATAGCGCGCCACCGACCCATTTGTCGGGATGACGTCACAACGACCGTTTTTTACATTCGACACCTTGCCATTTAATAACGAAACGGCGTAGAGACTTGCGGTTTTCACCGTTACTCTTAGATATTTTTAATCTATCTTTAGACGAAAACATGAAACTTGGGTATACTGCCCCTTTAAGTACCGCCGTAGGAAATACTGTCGGATTTCCAAATTGGTGCTATCTGTTTTTCTACTCCCATTACAACAGCGGTTATTTACGAAAAACGATTTTTCTATTCATCGATCTTCCTAAAAAACTAAGACCGATATTTCAAATTTTTTTAAGTACCGCCGTTCTTTTCATCATTGCAAAGAATATCCACTATCGAGAATTTGTTAGACTTCAACTACAAAAGCAGCATTTCATAAGAAAGCCTTAAATTTAAAGTTTAAGTGCAAATAATAAACTTGCTCCAGGGTACCTGAAAATTTAATCAGTTCTTTCTTTCTATGTAACAAACTAAGACGTCTTCAAATTTGTCTTGACAATGTGGAAGCGTGAATGATGCTGTTAGCGTTGGACCAATCAGCCAAATATATGGTCTAAGTGCCTGTGGGCATCTGATTATTCTCTATATTTTTAGAATCCAATCATGCTATACCTACACTGCAGCGCCAATTGTGTAAATGCGTGGTAGGCTCCCATAATAATAGTTCTTTAATAATCAAAAGTACAAGAATTTTGTGTTTTGCGTGGCACTACTGTAACCTTGTCAATACACTTAGGTCATCAGGTGCTGATCAAATAATATTTTAGAGCTGCCTCCAAATTGGTCCGATCCCAATTACATTGCGCCCAAGGAAGCGCCTTGTATTATAAACTACTTATGTTCGAAACACGACGGTATAGCCGCCGAAGTGAAATACGTAAAGGAATACAGTTGGAAGGAGCACATCAAAGACCTATTTAGTAAAGATATTCTGCAAGGTGACGAAGACACCTTCACTGGCTTTTTCGATCCTGCCAACTTTGATAGTAACTTACGGAACATTACCAAAACGTACGAGGCTCAATTGTTAAATCGAGGAGACTTTGACGAGCGTATCTTTTTAGGTGAGTTTTACGCGCATGCGTTTCCAAAAGTGTGCTTATTGCTTTATTGTTTTTTTTTGCTTGTAACTAATTGGTGCTTGACTTGTATAGCGATATCGGAATTACATTAGTTAACTACATTTTCTAGCCGAATACCGCAGACGTTTACTGTTGAAAGAGCAAGCGTTAAAAAATGCAAATGGAAGTGTCTTTTCACCGATGAGTTACTCAGGTAGGCTTCACTCGAAGAATTTTTTTTACTTTTAAAGCGATCGCGTATACAAGTTCAGATCTATTAAATTAAACTGTTTTAATTGCTTCATTTTGTTCTCGCTTGAGCTGCGCTTACGTACACAATGGTTGCTTTACGATTTTGATTATTGCATTTTATTATATATTGTGTAATCTGAACTGAAAAAGTTTATTGTAACCTCATTAATGCATGCAATTACCACATACATTTTATTAGTTTATTTACTCACAGTGACAGATTAAGGTAAGTTAGTAGTTTTTCTGCAGTAAAATGTCTAACCACAGTCAGAAAAGATTGACCACTTTATTATCTATATATTGAGCTAATCTGTGTTTGACTTTCAACGATAGTGGTTTTCAGATTGTAACCCTTATCAAAGCATACTAATCACCATTATATTTTGAGGTTTATTGTTTTTGCGTAGTTTATTGTTTTGTATGCCAGTTTTGATAGTAGAAAATAATTTATAATGAAACTGTGCTTTACTCCTGTATTGAGCCAAATTCATCACTGCATGAATCAAAATAGAGTGCTGTCTGAAGTTAGCAGTAGCCAGAAATTAATTTTAAGGGTGTTTGAACATACTTTCAATAATTGTATTGATCATAAACGTCTGCGCGCTTTATTTTCTTGCGCGGAACCAATTTCGCCGCTCTCTTACTATGAGTTCAAAATAAAATTCAAGCCTGTATTTGTGGGCTGTTCTCTTAATTCTCACTGCTTCTACATTGAGAAAACAGCATCAAATGTTGGGCACAAATATTCACTGCCTTGACAATCAGCACGTCATCAGCATCTTCTTCCACCTGTTTAACACTAACAGCAGCCTGTTCGCTTTTCTTTACTAGTGTCCAAATTAGACGGGCTTTATTGTGGTGTGGAAAATACATTAAAAATAAGTGTCATTTGTTTTCACGAAATTACAGTAGAAAATTGTTCAAATTTTCCGCAGCTCGGAACATATTAGAAGTACAAAAAAAAGTTTATTACAAAAAATGTGAGGAGTTTTGTCTTCTTTAACTTTCATTTGAATCCTTTTTTTGTGAGATCAACCACTGCGGAATTATTTTGAAAAAACCAATTTTATGTTCAATTTCTAATTTTTGAGAAGTGCAAAATTGTTTACAAATTATTTTTTTCTGATTATTTGGAATTCCTGCGATCATCTTGCCCTTTTGATTCAGAATCAGCACCTGATTCTTAAAAAATGTATATCTTCAAGTATAGGTAGCACTGTTTTAGAAGCATCTTTTTGCTATCCAGATTCCTGGTTAAAGTGATAATTTACTATACAAGGTGTAAAATAATTATTACAATTGTACTGGTGGTTTGTAAATGTTCCTTATTTGACAACATCACTGTAACCTTTTTATTTTATTATATTAACACATTATATTTCATATATTTCATAGTATTATTACCAATTGTATGCCTAGGTATCTGTACGAAAAGATTCAATTTAGCTCGAACATTAGATTACATAAACTAATTACTCCATCGAACCAAGTTTTTCGAACGATCGTATGTTTATAACGTTGCAAAAATATACAATCTTCTGCCTACTGATGTTAAAATGCTTGGGATGGTTTCATTTAAAACTAAATTATTTAAAATTACACTGGATAGACAAAACATGAGTCTTTAATTCATTTTTTTTTTATATTAATGTCATCCTCTTTGATATAAATTGTACGACATTACATCTCCTGTTTGATTTCTTTTTGTACACATCCATCATTTATATCTGATTTCCTTATATTGATTTTTGGTTCATTTAGCGTAAGACATAATGTTTTTATTTTTTATTTAAATTTTATTTTTTGTTTATTCATCCACCTACTATAACTATAATTTTCC